GATGTAAAGTTGAATCAAGTTATAGCGCCACCTACTGGTAACCCAGAAGTCACATTTTCTAGTATCCAGTAAAAAATGAAGGTGGTATTTAGAGAGGCTTTTATTTTGAAATAGTACATCATAATGTCCTGCTTAACCCCGGGTGACACATTGGGGATGCGTACTATACGTCTGAAGTGAAATGATCATGTAACTATTGATAGTTTCCTTTTAATTCTAACCTGAAACTGACCAAAAGTAGTCTTGTGATGGAGAATTTAAAGGAAAATTATGGTATTACTGTATAACTTTGGATTTTTTCCTTTTAACTCTAATCTGAAATTGACCAGATGTTGTCTTGTGATTGATATTTTGGCTCATTTATGGTATTTTGAGAGGCTTTAATTGTGGAATAGTACATCCGAATATCCTGGTTTTCGCTGGGTGACCTTCGAGATGTGTACGATCAGTCTGAAGTGAAATGATCATGCATCATGCATCAACTATTCATAATTTCCTTTTAGCTCTAACCTGAAATTGACCAAAAGTTGTCTCGTGAAGGATTTTGCAGGAAGGTGGAATTTAAAAATGAAGTTTGCAAAGGTGCATTCCTGGCGTCGATCCTTATGGTTAACGACAACTGACTCTTGGATGCTTTGTCCGACAGCCGCAGGAGTTCTCGGCTGCGTTTCTAGCCGTCCGGCCGGTGCTCCGACGTGCGGAGTAGCGAGGACCCGTCCAACGCTGCTTGCAGCTTTAATTGTTTTTTTAGATTTTGAAATCCCCTTTTGTAATTTTCATTACAAAACTTTATTCACTCATTATATATATATATATATATATATATATATATATATATATAATGTAATATATAATATAATATATATATATATATATATATATATATATATATAATGTAATATATATATATACTCATTATATAATATAGTATAATGAGTATATATATATATACTCATTATATAATATAGTATAATGAGTATATATATATATACTCATTATATAATATAGTATAATGAGTATATATATATATATATATATATATATATATATATATATATATATATATATGAGTTTTGGGAGACCAGTGAGGTAGAGTTGGTGCCAGGTGCTTGGGTCAATGAATGCCTGTGGCCAAAGCTCAAAGGGAAGGTCTTGGAGACTGCTATAAAGCAGAAAGTATGTCATACATGTTGGTGAAGTTTGTGTTCCGTCTTACGTCTGATTTAGATACTTCCTGTTTTATTGTGGCGTCTAAACCCCCTCTCGTTTCAGGTGCCTTGCCCTTCCTCAGGTGTCTCCTGTCGATTGTCTCCCCTGATTTCTAATTGTCTCCACCTGTTCCCTCACCTCCCTCATGGATACTTATTGTCTGCGTCTCCCTTTGTCCTGTGCCAGTGTGTCTTGTAGTTGTGCACGTCCACACCCGCGTTAGTATTGTGTTGTGAAAGGATCGTTGTATTTTGGTATTATTATCCTCTGATTATCCTCCATCACCGTCTGGTACGCTGCAGCCACAGCCAAGGACAAGGGCAGGCTGCAGCGTGTCCTCCGCTCTGCAGAGAGGGTGATCGGCTGCAATCTGCCGTGCCTGCAGGACTTGTTCGCTTCCAGGTCTCTGAAGCGATCTAAAAAGATGGTAGCCGACCCCTCTCACGCCGGACAAAACCTGTTTGTGCCCCTTCCATCTGGCAGGAGGCTGAGGTCCATCAGGACTAAGACCTCCTGCCACACAAACAGTTTCTTCCCGTCGGCAGTCGGGCTCATCAACAGAGCTGGTCCCCCGCTGACTGACTATAACATTCCAACGGTCACTCCCCTTCACACTGCACATGTCACTTTAACTGTAATTTTTCACTTTGTCGTCACTCGTCACTTTGTTACTTGTTCTCTAGTGCACTTTATGCTTAATATTTTTTAACTTTTTTAATATTTTAAATTTTTAACTAACTTTATTCTCTTGTTTTATACTAACCCATAGCCTTATTCTACTAACCCATTGCATTAGCATTTCATTTCATTTTATTTTATTTTACTTGTGCACTGCTGTCTTGTTGTCTATTGTTACACTGTCACGCACCAACCGCCAAGACAAATTCCTTGTATGTCTGACATATTTTGGCAATAAATGTTTCCTGATCCTGATTCCTGGTTAATATTTAGTCAATCTGTAAAATAAAATAGAACCCAAATTCCAAAACAGTTGGGACGCTGTAAAATGTAAATCAAAACATAATGTAAATTGTTTTCAAATCACTTATATAAATGTTTAATTGTAGATAAACTGACTGTTGAAACGGAGAAATTTTTAATTTGATGCCACCAACACATCTCAAAAAACTCAGATTAAACCTCAAAAAAGGTTATGTTTACCTCTGTTTTGCATCACTTTTTGTTTTTACAACACTATGTTTTATGCAGCTAAACCTAATTTCAATATAATATCTTTATAGACCAAGTAGCCGACACTTATCTGACGGATAGTGAGGATGAGTCAGGGCTACAGCAGCATACAAACGGTTTACCTGATGCTCCACCAATCAGCCCACCAAAAACCCGGACAACTCCCCATCAGAGAAAAATCCAAAAATCAGACGTTAGAAATAATGGGAGACTCGAGAACCATGACATTGTTATTTACACGTGTACGTAAACTTTTGACCACAACTGTATATCTATATAAATATATAGAAATAGATAAACATAAATCAGTTATAAGAATCCAAACGGTAGTTAAAATGTTTTGTATTCTATCAGCAATGCACTCTTATTAATTCTGATTTATCTCTGTCCTGTTTACATAAGCTGTCCAGTTCCCCCTGAAACAAGGACATTCATTCCCCAGAAGGCCACAAGACAGTTCACTAAGTGGGATCTGCAGCAAGACACCTGCAAGAGTTGACTGTAAGAGACCTAGTTGCAATGTGTTAAATAATTGAGTTACATTTTCTGTTTCAACGTGATTTCAATGGATTTTCCTATCCTAATGAACATGTCTTTTTGTTTGTTAACTCACTGAAGTGATGAACGTAACCTAACTCTGTCTGCACTGTAAATATGCAAATGGCTGGCAGTAGATGCTGAACTTACATTAACTCAGTATTTATGTTTGGCTGAAAGGCGTTTTTTAATTTTTCTACCCAAATCTAAGATCCTGATCATGCAAATCCATGGCCTCAGCCAGTGCCTGTGTCTGTGCCATCCTGGAGCCATGAGGCCCTATTTGAAACTACATGTCAGGAAGCTGAATGGTCAATCGTCAAAAAAGGCTTTCAAAAGCAAAAGGCCAAGGGGCAAAAACAGAGACAGGAACCAGGAACTAGGAACAGGGACTTCCATACATTGAACAATGACGCAACAAGTGACAACAGACACACATGGCTTAAATACACAAGGGAGGTGCAGGTGATTGCACACAGCTGGAAACAATCATGACATGACAGATAATCACAGGGGAAGACAGGACAAGGCAGGAAGGGATGTGACCCAGGGAGAACAGAGGCAAGAAACTACTAAATAAAACATAAAACACAAACAAAAGACATGAACCCAAACCGTGACACTACAAACTGTAAGTGCTAAAGCATTCATGTATTGTTTTGGGGTTTATCCTGAATGTATTTAGTAGTGGTGGTACATCGCTGTTTAAAAAAACCTTTCCTCCTAAAAGGAAAAAAAGGGGGGGACATCTCCGTCTCATCTTTTTAAAAATTAACATATTTTGTTGCATTTTTGATGTTTCCTATTCAGGTCAATTTACACACACATTTGTATAATTGTAAACCTTGTCATTGTCAAATATACACTTGAATGGACATAAAACATTTAGGTGTGAATACAACCTAAATCCCTAAAACACAGAGTTGAACTCTCCTTTATATCAAATGACTTCATTCTGTTTTATGAATGGGAGCCAAATTATGTAATTCATCACCTAAAACCCCCAAATCCATCAACTTTTAATTCTTGTGTATGTCATATTTTACATATTTCTTTTTCAGCATTAAAATGCGGCAAATGGCGAGCCCAAGTCCTTGTAGCTCCATGAACAACTAACGTTGATTAATGAAATAACATATTGCAAATTTGAGAGTGTAAAATATATTGATAATATAAAGACTGCAAAATCTGAATTAAAGTTGTATTAAACTTTGTGTAATTTGTTTGGCCGTATTCTCTGTTCCTCAATGGGTTTTTATTTCTTTAGTCTGCCTTTGTGAAAAGGTAAAACATTATACTGGGTATTTCTATATTTCCTCTATATTTTAAACACAATATTTTAAATTTGTGTTACTAATTAACAGAAAAAAACAAGTATTAGTTTCAAGTACAAGTTTCAGCTTGTAAGACACATGACAAAAATGCCCTGTGGAATAAAAGTGGGTTGGTGTTTAGGTCTCCATGGCAACAAGACAACCCATCATGCAGTACATAGGCCAGGTCTGGGCAAGCAGCACAATTGTAATCGGATATCGGTATTTGCGCCAGAGCTGGGCCGGCTTAGGTTAAGGTTGTGATGTTGTAGTATGTGGGCCAGAACTGGGCCGCAGTATTTTACAATATGTTTAAAAGCATCGGGCCACATCCGGCCCACTTATGTTTCATCTGACAGTCATGCTGTATATTGGCCAGTTTCGGAACGAGGACCTGGGGGTATACTGGGCCAGAAGAAACGCAATCATGTGGCCCACCATTGGATGATTTTTGCTATCTGGGGTGTTACCAATTTTGGATCTGGTTTAAAGACAGTTCACATATTGACAAATATTATGTCATAACTTTGCCTTTGGTTTCCTCAAGCTGCATAGTAATATTTCATGAAAATCTACATGGGCATAGAGGAGGCCAACCTAAACTAGGAACAAGTGACAATAGCGTGTTACCATTTATGGATCTGGTTTAAAGACAGTTTAAACATTGGGATGTCACACTTTTAGTGCCTGTTGAGCTGTACACGGCCATTTACCGTAACGCCTTGAATAGTGGTGCATTTAAAAAGAAATGCGGTCCGCATGACCGCAGTTTTTCAGCGCACTTGTCCAGTTACTGGGAGATACGGTAACGGAGCTACAGGCCGCCAATAGAGCCAGGGACGTCGCATACAATCCCGAACCGGGCAGGGTTCCCCAGACCGGCCGGTCAACGCGCGGAGACGCGGGGAAGAAGCTACGAGCCACGCGTGGAACACCGTCATGTTGAAGGGGAGACAACGGGACGAAGACTCCGCGGTGGATGTGAAAGCGCCTTGTGAGGATGAAGCGAAGACCCCGAGTGACACCGGAGGGGAAGAGGAGGAAGGCAAGCACGAGGAGGAGTTGGACCCTAGAATCCAGGTATGACGCCCACCGATCACTGGTACCGACGTAACGCGTCAAAGTGCCGTGTTCGTCCTTCTTGTTGTTTTACACGATATGTCCAGTTTCAAGCCTCCACGGTGCCGGTACCTCATCCACCCCTTCTGTCCCCGTGTGGTGCTTCTCATCCACCCCTTCTGTCCCCGTGTGGTGCTTCTTCATCCACCCCTTCTGTCCCCGTGTAGGGCTTCTCATCACCCCCTTCTGTCCCCGTGGTGGTGCTTCTCATCCAACCCTTCTGTCCCGAGTGGGAGCTTCTCATCCACCCAATCTGTCCCCGTGGGGTGATTCTCATCCACCCCTTCTGTCCCCGG